GGCAATTAGAATGTGGTATCATTTAAACATTGCCTTTACTTGCACTGGACCAGAAAGTCCTGTTGCCCTTTCCCTCTCCTAGCTGACTATATGGGGGGAGGGAGAAACCTTTTTCCTGCACTCATGCACATAAGCAAAAGCCAAACAAGCTCCCCCAAATCATACAGGTTTTCCAGCTTTGTCAGGATACACTCTCAGCTCAAGCAGCTCAGCCAAATTTCTTTGCCTCCATACCCAAGAGCAGAAAAAGCACATTGCCTTTTCCACCATTCTCCATCCTTGTGCAATTAACAGGGTTTTTTTTTTCCTCAAATCTGCTCTGCCTCTCATACCCTACTGCTCCCAGCCAAGGAAGACAGCATCTTATTACGACGTGATGAGCAACTGCTTTCTGCTGGTTTAGCTCTAAACTTAAATCCAAATCAGCCTGCAATCTCTCTTCACATTAGCAAAACTTTCCAAGCCCTCCCCTTCCTAATCTTTGACTTCACTCTGGTTTTAGTTTGATTTCTCAGAGGAAGGAGAGAAAGCTTTCACACTGTAATACATCAGTGAGATACATGGCACCCCAGCCAAACATGATTATTAATAATCTCCATGCAACACAGCTGTTTATATAAAATAGATGTAGCATGGAACCATTTTTTCCAGATTCTATAAGTCTGTGATCATACTAATCTGTTTCACATGAAGGATTCATCCCTTTATTTTTAGATGAGATGAGTTAAGCAAATGTCTAAATTTAGACCACTGAAAAACCAACCAAGGCAGACAGATACTGGATGTATATGCATGAAACTGTAAATCCTGAAAGACTTGGAAAAATCCTGTAACTGGAGTGCTACTGAGGTATCCTGTAACTCCTGCTTCACTTTTATGTCTCTCTACATAGACACAGATATGTACCTCATTAATGAAATTCAATCCTAACGGGAGCTGGCAAGCAAAATTAGTACAACAGTTTTTGACATTAAAATCCCATTCTCCCTTATACCTCCCTGAAATTTAGAGATGTGATTTAAACAGCATATAAGTTTTTCATCATCTTTTCAACTCCAGATATTTCTGCCACTGTTCAAACTGAGTTACAGAACTCCAGAAGATAAAATACTCCCATGTGTAGCTGTTATCTTCAAAACTACACATGAAAACATATATTAAAAAAAAAAATCAAGCTCCAGAAATTTATATCCCATTTATCTCACCCGTTTTAGTCCATGTTTACCATATAAATTTAGATTTCATCTACTAATAGGAATCTTTGTCCAGTTTTCCATTTATTAAACATCCACTCCCCAAAAGAAAAGAATTGCAGCAAATAATGAGTTGTTTGGTGTTGGTTTATTATCTCCTTTAGTTATCTGTTTTAGAAAAAAATGGGGAAAAAAGAAAAAAACCCACAGTTTCTACTACTTTAAGCATCTATGATACCATTAACTTTGGCCCACCAACCTGAAACCCCATTTCTTTCTTTGAGAGTGAAGGAAATAGGCTAAAGTTCCATCAGCTCAATTGAATATACAGCCATGCTAAGGCTTTAAGTAGCAGTAACAAAGGAACCAGGGTTTTCATTGGAAAGCAAAATATTTTTTTTATTATTTTGTTGTTCTTTCATTATTCAAGACACATATTCTTCATTAATAAAATTGAATGTGCAAGGGCAAAGCAGCACTGAGCCAAAGGCAGAGTATTGGTCATGGCACTCCTGGTATTTAACAGCACTCTGTAGCTCAGCAAAAGGGCAACATCTCTGGTTCCTTCATGCCTCAGCTCTCCAAATCTCAGTTTCTTTCCCTGATCAATTTGACTTCACGATCTCCTAATGACCAAAATGAATTAATTCAAAAATCACAGTGGATTTTGGTGTGGAATCATGTTTTCTGCTGGTATCAGCAGCTGACAAAAGGGGATGATTCCCTGAGACAAGGAGGAGCAGTTATCATGGCTTTTACTCTCTTTCTGCTCCCTTGGGCCACTTCTGCTGCAGTCCCTGCACAAGAGGGAATCAGGCAGCAGCAGCAGCAGCACAGAACAATTCCCCATGAACATTTCACATAGGCAGAGGAGTATCCCCCAGCGTGGGCACAGCATGGGCACATGCCTGAAAAGGCACCCTCCTGCAGTGCAAGGAGGCTGTTAAAACTTATCTTCCACCCTTCTGAGCAAGATGGATCCCACCTGCAGGGAGCAGTTCATCAACAACACCATTCCCATTGCTCCTGGCTGGGTGGCAGAATCCCAAGTGACAGGACAAGACACTGCAGAGCTGCCCAGAGTTAACTACAGAAACCGCTCTGCTCAGGCAGCATCTTCCACAGACACGGTTGAGAGGGTACAAGAAAGATGTAAGACACGTTTGAGCTGTGGTAGGATGAAAAAAAAAGAGGTATTAGGTTTATAAATGAAGACTTCAACACCTTCTGCAATAGTAGAAAGATTTGTTTGAAGACAGGTTTTCCCTCTGGAGGGGTTTGAAGACAATGTGTGACACTGTTTGAAAACAATGTGTGCTTCAAGAGAAGAGGTTCTTGCACAAAACTTTGGGAGATAATAGGCAAACTTCCTAGTCTGTGTTTTCTATGTAAGTGTTTTTTTTTCTGGTAGACACTGACTCACTGACATATGTACATACCTCACTGTTCAGTCTCTGTTACTAACATTTTTACCAGATCCTTCATGAAGAAATAAAATGAGTAACAATTGCACGTTGATTTAACCACGCAGGGGTAAGGGATATCATTGCCTGAAAGACAGTTTCTCAGAGGGTTTAAACAAAAAAAAAATAGAAAAAAAGAAAGAGAAGAAGAAAGAAGCTCCTGTGGTCTCTTTAGAGCCAGAAATTCCAAGTTCAGCTTTGGCAGCAACTCCAGAGGGCTTCATGGGATTAGATTTTTTTAAAAACCTTAAAAGGTTTAGGAGCATGTCTCATTGTTAAAAGTGATTTAGACTAATGAGCTTAAGCATTGCTAATGCACTGCTTCATGTTCTGTCTGGTCCAGTCCAGTGAGGGGCAGGGCTCTCCCACAGCTCCTGACAGGTTTAGATGCAAGGGTTTGAAATACCAGAACCCTCTTTCTGCAGTCTTCTGGTGAAGGTCACCAGAGTGGGAGAAGCAGATGGGGACATGCACCCTGGCCCAGCAGATACCATCAACAGAGAGAGGCTGCACTACCAGGCTGGCTGGGAATTTGGGCAGCAACCCTTCTGCTGCCCATGGCAGAGTTCTGAAGCAGAGATTGAAGGAAATGGTACATTCTGTGGCTGAAATCAGCTTCACCAGAGGCCATCTGTCAAAGGGCAAGAGCTCCTAAGAGCCTGAGCCTCTGTTAAAAGCAGCCGTGGGTGCCCTTGACAGCATCCTGCAGCCTCCCTGTGCATGCCACATTCATAGGGTTAGAGAGTCATTTTGGTTGGAGGAGACCTTTAAGATGATCAAGTCCAACCGTTAACCCAACACTGCCAGGTCAACACTAAACCATGTCCCAAAGCACCTCAACTACACATCTTTTAAATCCTTCCAGGGCTGCCCTCCACCACTTCCCTGGGCAGCCTGTTCCAGTGCTTTACAACCCCTCCTGTGAAGAAATTTTTCTTAATATCCAATCTAATCCTCCCCTGGAGCAACTTGAGACCATTTTCTCTTGTCCCTTCTTGTCTCATCACTTGTTACATGGGAGAACAGACTGATCTCCACCTCACCACAACCTCCTTTCAGGCAGCTGTAGGGAGCAAGGTCTCCCCTGAGCCTCTTTTTCTCCAAGCTAAACAACCCCAGTTCCCTCAGCCACTCCTCAGGAGACTTGTTCTTGCCTCCTCCTGCTCTAACCTGTGATTTCTTTCTTGGTTGAGTGTGGAAGCTTTTTTTAGGGGAGGTAAGAATACTTACCCAAGGAATTAACTTTGAGTGTTTTATCCCATTTGCTATTTTGCAACAGAAAAAATATTTCCAAAAATTCAGATGTACCATGGTATATGGGACCTAAACTCTGCAGTGCTGTTCCTACATTTTATGGGAGACTGGAAATAACTCCTAAATATGTAAAATTTTGAACTTTAAACATGAAAATTGATAAGCCTATTCATGAGCTGCAGTGTCTACTTACTGCAAATGGAGAAATTTGCTGATGCTTTGTTTTCTACAGACAATAAGTGATCACACCACAGAAATGGAGCTTGAAAGGGGAAGAGACATTTTATGTTACACAGGAGTCTGTGAACGTTTCCATGGGAGGGTGGGAGAGGTAGGAGTGCAATAAAGGTAGCAGTAAAGAAGTTGTAAATTTAAGCTTTCTATAAAATCATAATTTTAAAAATGTCCATTGGTGTTTTGACGTCTTCTAGCTTTGCAGATTAGTCTCAGTCCCTAGATAAACCAAAGAAATCTGGTTTAGACCGACTTCAAACTCCTAAAAAGTGCCCTGTATTCAGTCATAAATTGAGCATCAAATTGTGATGAATGTGCTGTGATAAACCAATTGCTTTTTCAGGATAAGCTAGGAAAGGTACAGAAAACCTAAGCCAAGCCATTCAGCTCACGCGTGTGGCCCACAAATAGATTTTAGCACCAGGTTCTACCTTCTCGAGCTTTTTGTTGGCTCAAGATCTCACATTTTACCTGTGCAAAGCTCCTTTTAAGTCAAGAGGAATATTGTCTGAATCAAGGGCTGAGTAGGAAATGAGGATGGACTGTTACTTCTGGTCAGACATCAGTACCATGTGTTTTTTTGGCACTGCAGTCCCGAGCCACTGAGCTCTCTGTTGTTTGAAGTTCATTTCACTACAAGCTTCCTGGGAAACAAATTTAGGAGCACACATACATGGATAAGAACACAGCCTCAGGTTTTGGGTGATGGCACAGCACTGCCCCTCCATTTGCTTTCGTTCACCAAACCTGCTGCTGAAACAGATCCAGAGCTCAGGGGAAAGACTGAAAGGTCTGTGCTGCACGTTCGTTGTTCACAGCACACCTTTGCCTTTGTTCACAAAGCCAGGGAGTCCTGTCACTTCTGAAAGTACGTTTTCTTTTTTCGGAGCTTTAAGTGGATGCCAGTTATGAGGAAACCTGCCAGGGTTGCTGCTGTGCCAGAAACCACGTAGGCAATTCCCAGGAACGGGTTACTTCCTCCGCTCCACACCACGGTGGAAAGAATCACATGCTTCCTCCCCTTGAACTTGGTGACAGGGAAATCTGATAGAAGGATGTTCAGGTTTCACTAACAAAGTTTACATGATTTCCAGGAAGAGGAAAAGTAGTGGTAAATGCTCAGAAACCTTTCCAAGGCATAAAACATCTGGAGAATTGCATATGCTGGAAAAATTCCTTTCACTGATTTGTGATGTCTCTGCTATTCTAGGTCCAAACAGTTGCAGTTGGTGGCAAGAAATTCACTTATTTTAGATACAGCCTCTGTGTGAACATTAAAATACCTTTTTTAATAAAAGATATAAATATCACATTCATATTTTATGCTACTACTACTGCATTAATTTGCTGTGAAAACTCAGTTGAAAACATGCCTTGGGGCAGCTTATCATGATGATACTCCACATATTCTCACTGGGGGGAAGTGCTCACCTCTAACTCTGCTGTCTACCCAGAATGTTAGATGATTTTACCTTTCATCTCTCTGCATGGAAGCTTTCAGAATAGAACTGTGCTACAACACTGAAAATCATAGTTCTGTCAGCTGAGAGAGAAATTTAGCCATCGTGACATCACTCCTGCTGCCAAAACAAGCACTTCAGTCAGCAAAGGTGATGGTGTTCAGTGCTCACCTCTAACTCTGCTGTCTACCCAGAATGTTAGATGATTTTACCTTTCATCTCTCTGCATGGAAGCTTTCAGAATAGAACTGTGCTACAACACTGAAAATCATAGTTCTGTCAGCTGAGAGAGAAATTTAGCCATCGTGACATCACTCCTGCTGCCAAAACAAGCACTTCAGTCAGCAAAGGTGATGGTGTTCAGAAAAGCTCCTGTCAGGTCATGGCCCCAGGAGAGGGCTCTGCTGACACAGGCCTCCCCCATGGCTCCCAGCAGCAGAGGTACCTCTGGCACCTCCAGCACCCCAGTAAGGGGGTCAGCACATCTGATGAGCCCACCGTGCTTGGTTTCTCTGCCATTTTACTATACAAATCCACTCCCACCTGGTTGTAACCATCCAATAGCCTTGGATAACAGGAAAGGATACTATAGGCAATCTGAAAAGTGTAATTCCCAGCTGGGAGGCCGTTGGCAAACTCCCCTACGTGTCTGACACGGCGGTAGAGGTTTCGGAAGGAGGCAAAAGCTGAGACCCTCATCCAGACAATGAAGTCATCATTTAGGTACCCATTGTTCCTTTCATCTTCCTCATCTAACAAATACACTGGTTTGGGCCAGTAAGGAGGTCTTGCTGTCCCTGATGGAAAAGAAAGCAAGCAGGAAAAACATGCTGTCAGTAAAAAAAGTAGTGGTTGGCCAACTCCTGGGCCTACTCACAACCAGTAACAACAGGAGACATGAGAATAACAGATCTCTATGAAAGAGAAACAAGACTCTGTCCAGGACTGAAAAATGATATATGCTGGGTAACACTTTTCATCCAGGCACCTCTGCTCACCTTCAAACAGCAATGAGCAGTTTAACAGTACTAAGGGGTTGCTACACATTAGGAACTTCAAGCCCAGGAAAAACAAAATTATTTATACAAATGAAAATACTGCTTAATTTGGGTTCTTGCCTCTTCACCAAACAACATGCTCTCCATAACGAGGAGCTTGCCTTCATTTTTAGACATTAAGTTATTCCTGTACAACCAGAAAGACATCTTTTTGCAGTCTAATGGCACAGCCTATGACATTTAGAATCTGTCCTATGAAAACTACTTAGATAACTAACTCTTGCCTATTGCATCCAGCACAGCACTGCCCTGATCCAGAATAAAGAGCTTTAAGTCCCACTTGATCAACCATAACAAGAAAACAGCCCTAGGAATCAGCTCTTTGGAGGAACTAGTGATGATGGCAGCCTCCCCTCTCTCATAACTGCCTAAGAACCTGCAAAGGCATGAAGGAAAGATGTGACATGCAGTTCTCCATAGATGTTTTCAACACTAAAAATTTGTGACTGCATCCTTGCTTTCTCTGAACAGATTGTTACAAGAACCTATACAGAAGGGTGTTGGCATGGGCTAACTTCAGTCTTCTGAAACCACTTTCTCTTAATTTCTATCCTCTGTGATAAAATTAAAAAAGTGTTTTGGCTAAATCTGTCTTCTGCTCTCAGTCACCCTCTAAAGCTGCTTCTCCATCTTGATTTAGAAGGTATTTCTCCCAAAGACAATCCATCTCAGATTGGGAGACCCTCACAAGGGGGTAGGGAAGCCACCAGAAAACCAGGAATACCAGTGGAACCA